TGAGACAGCAATGAGGTGTTAGGAGGACAGGTGGTGGACAGGAAGTTGGGCTTCCTGTTGAGCAAGTTACCATAGCAAAGAAGATCAAGTGAGGTTGAGAAAATCTAAGGGACTCACAAAATGGGTCAGAGGCCAAAGTCAGGAAGCTTTTCTGAGGAAGTGATCTTGCAGCTGAAACCTGCAAGCAATGAATGAATGAATGAACATAAGGAAATATTACCTATGCTGAGGGGAGGAGAGGTGCAAAGGCCCTGAAGTAGGAAAGAGTTTTGCATATCTGAGGAACTGAAAATGACTTAGGGCCAAGGGGCTGCACTCCAAAGGCCCACATCTCTACTTCACCGTGTACTACCTGTGTGACCTGGGGAAGTTTCTGAACTCTGACCTTCCATTTTCTTATTTGTGAAATTGAAGTCATAACTGTGAGTTCCTCCCTCACAGACTGTCATTGTTGCCACCTTTTTGTAAGGAATAAACATCATCATGAACTCATAAGTGTTAGCATATATTTGGACTCTATTATTAGTATTACTGTTACTAATTACTCTGGTCTATTGAATTTAAATAGATGAAGAAAAGCATGAAATAGATGAATCAGCATGATTACAAATCCCAGGACAGTTTGCATTAGAGTTCAGTCCTGAAAAGGGGTTATGCCCAGTCTTGCTGGGCCTCCCAACAACGCCATTGGATCCCCACAGCCTGTTGTCAAGCATGGTCAGAAGGGTTCCCTTGGCCAGCAATGGCGGGCCACATCCTGCAGAAACTCTAGGCAGCCTGCAGGGCTCCAGAATACCTGCCTTCTAAGGGAGACTGAACATTAGGGCCACCTCTCTAAACTCTTTCACAGGCTGGGAAGACTCACTGTCAGTGCACAGACAACAGAGCTGTAGCTAAGCTGCAGGCGCCATGCAGCACAAATGGGAAACCAGTGTTAGTGATTATAACCTGTGGCATCTGGGCATTCTTTATTATGCAGCAAAACAGACAGACACACTCTTTAGTATTTCTTTTACACCAAAAATTGTGGAACATAGACGCAGTGGGTCTGGTGTAGGGATGTATTCCCTTTTCCTGGGACAGATGTCTAGGAGATGCTAACTTGGAAGATATATAT